ACACTTGTACACATATGTATTGATTTTAAAATAATTTGGCTTTAATTACCTGCTATAATATTTGGGACTCATCCTGATAGTAGACAGCTATCAGTGACCCACTGAACTTGCTCAGTTATAGTTCACAGCAGGACAAAAGGTGATTTCTTTTTCTTTCTTTTCTTTTTTTTTTTTTTTTTTGAGACAGAATTTCACCCTTATCGCCCAGGCTGGAGTGCAATGGTGTGATCTTGGCTCACCACAACCTCCGCCCCCTGGGTTCAAGTGATTCTCCTGCCTCAGGCTCCCGAGTAGCTGGGATTACAGGCATGGGCCACCACACCCGGCTAATTTTGTATTTTTAGTAGAGACGGGCTTTCTTCATGTTGGTCAGACTGGTCTCGAACTCCTGACCCCGTGTGATTCGCCCACCTCAGCCTCCCAAAGTGCTGGGATTACAGGTGTGAGCCACTGCGCCTGGCTGACACAAGGTGATTTCTAAGCCACCACTCACTGCCCCAGTTGCCAAGTGACCATGTTGTCTTTGGGTGTCCTGGACTTACACCTGAACTTGGAGGCTTCCCCTGAGGGGAACCCATATTGGAAAACCTGTTAACATGGTCTGGAGGCCTCTGGATGAGGAGGCAGCCGAATGTGTCACCTTTGCAACCAAAACGATGTTATGTTGGAAAATTCACAGTCCTTCCCATCTTTCACCTCCACCCCCACCACCGTTCAGCCACACACCTCCCAGGAAGGCACCTCAGAAGCAGCCACATGAAAGGGAGTTTAGGCCAGCTAAGAGTGGCTAGACTTGTGCACTGGAGAATTTCCATTTGAGGAAACTGGAAAAGGGCCTATGGGTATGTGGCTCAATTAAATGTAATCAATGATTCTTTGTTTTAGTTTTATTGTGTGAAGAACCTTTCTAGTGCATATTTCCTACTTATTTATTGTTAGTTAAAGAATAAGTTATGGGTGGAAGGTCAATACGGCTGACATTTATTTTCCATCTTACCAGAATTTATTTCTCCTTTTTTTCTTGATTTTTTATACAGAAATTTGATTTCATTTTAGCACTTTAAAATTAGCCGCCACTTTTCAGAAATATAAACATACCATAAATTGGGAGATGGGAGTACTTGAGTGAGGAGGCAGAGGGCCAGAAGGTTCTCACTGCCAGCCTGTCTACCCTGTGTGGTGCCTGACTTCCTGGCCAGGGCAGAGATTCAAGGGAACTTGGGCCAAACCTCTCACTGTGCAGGCAGGGAAACCGAGGTCTGAGGGGAAAGAACTGGGCCCAACTTGCCTCCTGGTCTGGTGGCCAGGCCGTCCTTCCTGTCTTATCTGTCTAGGAGGAGAGTCTCTGAGGCCCAGGGGGTGCCCAGACCCAGATGACAGCTGCCTGCCAAGGGCTGGGGAGGATGCCCACAATGGGACAAGGACAGTGTCTGGGGAGGTTCCGCCCTCATCCCTGAGGGGGTGCTGATGGGATCTATAATCGCAAAGAAATTTACAAATTTATTTCTATGGCTGCATAGGACAGGGGCTTGGGTCTGGCTCCTTTGTCCTAAACAGTTAACTGCGATGGGGAAAGACAGATCCTTCAACCCTTTCCTGGGGAGAGGCCTGAGGGTGTGTATAGGGTCCACTGCCACCTTGGGTGCCAGAAATAGGGTCCAGCCCTACAGGGTTCTGTGAGCTGCTCCTGGCTGGTGTGGAGATGAGAAATTGTAGAAATAAAAGACATAAGACACAGAGATAGAGAAAAGAGAGTTTGGGCCCAGGGGTCCACTGCTACCCAGATAGCAGAGACCAGCAGTGGCCCTGAAGGCCAGGACACTCTTACTTTTATTGAGTTGCAAATCTGGGGGCAGGGTAGATAGGGCGTGGCAGTGATAGGGTCAAGCACATCACCTGTCATTCAGGTAGGGGCTGAGGAATTTCTGGCACCTAAAGCTAGGTAAGGAGCATAATGCATCAGCACTTTTTCCATACTTATCAAGAACGAACGAAAACATTGAGATTTACATTACTATTACTGATGATCTTTTCTAAGAAAAAAGGAACCAGGTGCAGAAGCAGAACATGAGAGTAGACATGGAATGTGACCGCTGAAGCACCGCATCACACAGAGACAGTTAAGCCCCCGGATGTCTGCAGGTTTACCTGACAGCCGTCAGGCCTTACCACAAGAGCTTGGAGAAGCAGAGTTTTCTCCAGACTTCCCCAGGAAGGAGATGCCTTGGCCATTTTGGTCATCTCCTTCCCTAGCTGGCAAAACAGCGGGCGCTTTCAGAGCACTGGTGCTGCCGCACAGCCGAGGCGCCCTCCAGCAGCCCTTATGCGGGCGTGACAGAGGGCTTAGAGCGTCTTGCCTTAGTGCCATTCATTTCACAATGTCACCCTAGGTTCACACTTCTGACCTGAGAGGCATTAGTAGAAGAATTAAGATCACCTATGAATAACTAAGATCACATATGAATAACTAATAACTACTATGGTATATTTCTAGTTACTTTCTTCTTCATTATTTATATGGAAATAGGCTGAGGCCTTTTGCTCCTGCCTCAGTGGCGCTTATAGGATCTCCCCACTACAGGTGTGGAGGCTGGATCAGACCAAGGGTCCGGGGGTTCCCCTTCTGCTGAGAATAGTGAGGATATGATGAGGATGGTCCGTATAGGGGAAAGAATCCTTTTAGGCTGGAGGGCACTCCCCTGGGGAGTGCGAGAGACTGTTTCTTTTATGGGCGGTACCCTGCCCTCCCTTCTCATAGCCTTGGTGAGAGGTGGGCTGGCCTCCATGGGAGGGTTTTACCCAGAGGTGGAGAGTTGGAGAATGAGTGTCCTTGCTCTGCAAGTCATACCAGAGGCCCAGGGATTTGCAGGTGGTACTAGGAAAGCAAGATTTTCTTGTTCCATGTGACCTCAGAGGGCAGAAGCAGGCCCAGGGGATGACCCCAGCTAATATAGTATTGTGGTTAAGAGTGATGACACTTACTTGCTGGGTGACTTTGGGCCAGTTACTTAACCCTTCTGAACCTCTATTTTCTCATCCATGAAATGGGTGAGAAATATATATATTTCTAACATTAGTGCCTACCTTATAGGGCTACAAAGATGAAATAAGATAATATATAAAAATATGAGTGGCAGGTACTGTTATTAATAACAGTGATATGAAGACTATTTATAAAGGATGGAAGGTAGGGAAGTGTGTTCACGCTCAATACAATGTTAGGGGTGTCCCTACACAGAATCTGTTACATCTTGAGGGAGGGAGCTCTCTGTCACTGGAGGCAACCAAGTAAAAGCTAGAGGTCTTCTAACTGGGGATGTTGTCAAAGTATAATGCCTCAGACTGGGATGGGCATGATGATCTTGAAAGGTCCGTGGTCCATGATTGTGGGCCAGAAGGAAGGGGTGGGCTGGAAGGCAGTGGCTTCCTTCTGGAAGCTGTATCCGTCCTATGAGACACTGGGCCCTGGAGGCCATGTGGAGTCACTGGGCTGTGGGGCAGGGAATGCCAACCTTGAAGGATCCTTTGGGCCTTGACCAGGTGCCTGGTGTGTGGGAGGGGCTGAGCAGAGCCTTCTGCTTCCTGGTCTGGAGAGCTTGCCTCTGCTAGGCAGCTTGAGAGGTGTGATGCCCCGAGACAGAGAGGCTACTGCCCTCGGCCAGCCAGGTCTGTGTGCCCGTGGCCTGGATGGAGCAGTAGCCTCTGACTTTTGCTGTCTCTTGCTTGCTTGTTCCAGGGACTGGAACAGTCCCCCTGGGTATCAGACACAGGTGCAAAAAGTGGGATGGGGTGAATCGTGCGGGGCTTGGCTGAGAGTTCATCACAGGCCCTCATGGCAGCAGAGCTGTGGACACACCCTTGGAGGTGTGTCCCTGGCCTGAAGCCACCAGCTGGAAGACTGGACTCCTGTACAGGGTTCTGCAGGCAGACAGTGGCAGAGGCCCTTGGATTTGGCCACCCCTTATTGTCCAGGTTCAGGCTCTACCTCTGTCCATGAGCCTGAATGCCCTGGTCCCCTCCCCACAGCTGCATTCCCAGGCCTTGGTATGTCGTAGGCACTCAATAGATACTTGTTGAACAAGTGAAGGAATTCAACAAATATTTATTTGCTAAAAAATGCCTACTGTTCCATCCACTGCGGTAGGTGGGCTGCTCTTACTACTTTGTAGGATGACGTGGTGTGCGTGCGTGTGTGTGTGTGCACGTGTGCATATGCAGACACACACTAGCCACATCTAGTTGTATATTTCATTGGCCCCTGTGATGACTGCCTTCACTGGGGACTAATAACACATTTGCTGGTTTGCCAACATCTTTTTTTAAAAATTTTATTTCCAAGGCCAGCACCTGATTTTTTTTTTAAGGGAATATTTGATGTAGGGAAACATTAGATTAAAAACACGCACTCCTGGCTCATTTATTGTGAATGAGCATTAGCTTCCCTCCTCCCCGCCCCCACCCCCACCCTGCCATGTGCATGCCTATGGGCTTTCAACCTGAAATGACAGCGCTTTGTATTGGAGTGGGGGAAACAGCACCCCCCTTAGGGATAATAAGCCTTTGCCCCTAGGATTTTCCTTCTGCCTCTAGGTAAAGCCAAATGCCTGTGATGTGCTTCGGGCTGGAGTGCAGTGCCTTGGTGTGTGTGTGAGGGCCCTGTGGGAGTGGCTTTTGTGCCTCTGTTTTTTGTAAGTAATGGAAGCTTTGGTGTAATGAAATTTTATGTAGAGCCCCATGGATAGACAGCACAGTAAGAGTGGATCCACTTTGCTGAAATGGAGGGTGGGGCCCTTTGCTCAGCCTTCCTACCACCTCCTCCCACTCCCCTGCCAGGGCCTCCTAGAACATCCTGGAACCCTAGGGCTCCTCAAAGCCCTGGAGGAAGAGCCTGCACGCATGCAGGGTCACACACGTGAATTCACAGATGCTCGCCTGTCTGCGTGTACTGTGTTCATGCCTGTTCTCTCTCTCTTTACCTCTGCTTGCTGTCCCTGGTTCAGGCGGGCCTCATCCGCACAGACAGCACCGACTTCTTCATTGAGCCTCTGGAGCGGGGCCAGCAGGAGAAGGAGGCCAGCGGGAGGACACATGTGGTATACCGCCGGGAGGCCATCCAGCAGGAGTGGGCAGAGCCTCATGGGGACCTGCACAATGAAGGTAGGCTCCGGGCAGGAGCCCGTGCGCTGCTTCTCTGCCTACCTCTGGAGTGTTTTCTGGTAACTTCTGTCCTTAAGCTGTCCATTCCTGGCCTCAGTCTTCTCATCTGTAAAATGGGACTGGATCACATAGACCTGCTGTGCTGGCAAAGAAACCCCATTACGTTCTAGGAGCTGTTGTAATTGGCTGGAGCTAGGGGCCAGAGGAGCCACTTGTGTCTTGAACTGTGGTCCCTGGAACTCCAGAGGTCTCTGAGAAGCTCACTATTGCTTCTCATGGCTATTTCTGAGCCAAGACAGAAAGTAGAATGCCTGCAGTGAGTTCTTCCCTTGCAAAATCAACTCAACCCTGTGGGAGCCACAGGAAGTTATTAGGGCACTGCAGGGAGGCTGCCTGGTGTCAGGGCATCATGGTCAGCTGTACATCCTGTAGACCGTTTGACTCAAGTCTGTCTACTGTGTGACCCTAGGCAAGGTACCTAAGATCTCTGAGCCCTCCTGTTCCTCATCAGTAAAGCGAGATGATCCATGTCTACCTGTAAATGTTATATATAATGGTGATGGCGTCTATGAAAATCCCAGTATGGGGCTTGGCACGTAGTAGGTGCTGGATAAATGGCAGCTCTCCTTACAGTATTATTAAGAGTAACTGCTGACATGTTAGGGTGGGAGCCCCCTGAAGGAAGGGGCATCCCTGCGCCCAGGTAACCAGCACGGGAGCCTACACAACAGGAGCACTCAAGACTTATGGTTGAGCGAATTGAACTGTGGATGTGACAGGTGCTGGTCCTGGGCCCCTGGTCAACTTCCCAGTGTCACAAAGCTCCTTTGGCCAAGAGGAGATGAGGAAGCTCACATGCTTTCAACCTGAAATAACCGCGCTTCATATTGGATGAAATTTGGCTTCATCCAGATTTTCACTGTGGGTGAAATCTGGTTATGACTGGGCCATATCCTTGTGCCAGCTCTCTGTGGGACTGACCTGGCATGAGAAATGCCTGGAAACCAGTTGTCCCCACAGACAGTGCATCCTTTGAAGCTCCACTTGCTCTCCAGGTGTCACTCATAAGGAGCCAGAGGATTCTGCAGGCCTAAGGTGGGGAGGGCAGGGCTGGCGGAACCTCTGAGCACTGGTGTGGATTTCAGGGTACCCTTCCCTCCACCAGGGCCAGCAAGAGGGATGAGTCTCCCTTGGGCTCCATTTTTTTAGCCCAATTCTGAATCCAAAGACCATAAGGCCCCTACTTTTAGGAAGAGATGCTGGGAAGTCCAGCTGCAGAGCTGTGAGCCTGGAACCAGCGCATCACCAGCCACCATGGTGGGCAGCTGGGAAGCTGAGACCACTGAGCACATGGAGCTGGAGTTCAGACCCAAAGAAACGTGGCCGTGACTCTCCCCCAACACCAGGATCCTGGGCTGGAATTTCAGTGGGGCCAGGACCTGGTCCATCTATGGGCCTTCCTTAGAAACACCAGTGGCAGGAGAAGACTTTCTTGGAAACCTGTGACTTGTACTTTTATTTGAAGACCAGTCATGGGTCTGAGCCCAGTGTGGGGAGAAGCATTTCTAGGCGTGCCTGTCTCCATGTCACAGGCTTGATTGAAGCCAGAGGCTTCAGCTTGGCTCTTTGTATCTAGTTTTTGGCACATAGAGGTGCCTCGGAGGCCTGGCCAGATGCTCAGAGCCTGCCTAGCAGCTGGCTAAAGGCTTTTGGGGAAACTCTCTCAGGCTGGGGACCTCCGCATCTCCACCTGTCCTTATCATGCGCAGGTGTCCCTGCCCTTGGTTCCTCAGACCTGGGAGTCTCCTGGGTCTGTTCACTTCTCCCACCCAGGCAGGGGGTCCTGGAGGACAGAGGCCAAGTCTCTGTCTCGGTGTCACTCATAGCAGCAGGCCTGTCCTTGCAGGGAGGAGGGCAGGGGAGGCATCAGAGACTCCACTACATGGGTTTGCTCACTGGGCTGAGGCTCTGGAGGGGATTCCAGCCTCCTGCTCCACTGTAAGGAGTCTCAGGTGCACCATGAACCTGGGGTGGAGGGGATAATTCCTCTTGGCACTCAGTAAGACCTCAGCTGCTGCTTCCTGAAAAGGGTATGTGTGGGCTCACACACTCACACCTACCCAGGCACTCACACACACTGACACCCACGCCCACAAACACACACCCATGCACCCATGTTCACCCTTACTGCACAAACCCATGCAGCCACACTCACACATCGACACACCCCATACACTCATGCTCACACACTGATGCACACACACTCACAAACACACCCATACACCCACAGTCAAACACTGACACATACCGACCCACATTCATCCACCTACATACACACATACAGACCCCTCTACACACATATACTCTCACAATCCCACATCTACCCATGCTGACACACACCCCACATACACACACACTCCACACACTTGCACAGTCAAACACAATCACATCCACACACTGTCACATACACACACATTCGTGATGAGCCCCAAAGAAGAGTTAGGTGATTCTTTCCCAAGGGTCTGGTGAGAAATTGAGCCCTTCAGAGTCCAGAGGCAGGAATTTCCAGTGCTGGGCCACCAGGCTTGAGCTGGCCCTCACCCCTCAGCCCTGCCTTGGCCCCTGAGGCTGTGCCCTGGATGTTCTCCTGCTCCTAATGTTTCCCTCTCCTATTCAACCTATGGTCCTACTCTCTGGAACCTCGTTCCCACCCCTGGTTCCCTCCTGAGGACATGAATGGGGATGTGCTCCTGCAGTCAGAGGTCTGGCTCTCCGTGGGGCTGCCCATGCCAGGACTGCCCATGCCAGGACTGCCCATGCCAGGGCTGCCAGCCGGGCTGGGGCTTAGAGCTGCTGCTGCTTTATAAACGATTGAGATAAAATTCACCATTTAAACTATTTTGAGGCATACAATTTGGTGGTTTTTTTTTTTTTTGGAGACGAAGTCTTGCTCTGTTGCCTAGGCTGGAGCGCAGCGGCGCCATCTCAGCTCATTGTAACCTCCATCTCCTGGGTTCAAGCAGTTCTCCTACCTCAGCCTCCCGAGTAGCTGGAACTACAGGTGCATGCCACCATGCCCAGCTAATTTTTGCATTTTTTTTAGTAGAGACGGGGTTTCACCATGATGGCCAGGCAGGTTTTGAACTCCTGACCTCAGGTGATCTGCCCACTTTGGCCTCCCAAAGTGCTGGTATTGCAGGCGTGAGCCACCACACCGTGCTGGGTTTTTAAAACTATGCTCACAATGCTGTGCAACCATCACCTTCATCTAATTCCAGAACATTTCCATCTGTTAGTTGTAGTCACTCCTGTTTCCCCCCTGTCCAACACCCCCTGGCAACCTCTAACCTACTTTCTATCTTTCTAAATAGGATTTGCCTATTCAGAACATGTCATAGAATGAAATCATACAGTATGCCGCCTTTTGTGCCTGGCTTCTTTCATTTAGCATGTTTTCAAGGCTCACCCATGGCTTCACTCTTTCTTATGACAGAGCACTATTCCAGTGTCTGGACATGCCACATTTATTTATCCATTCACCTGGTGGACACTGGAGTTGTTTCTATCTTTTGGCTACTATGAAATGCTGCTGTGAACATTCACGTGCAAGTTTCTATGGGAACATACATTTTCAAATCTCTTGAGTACATACTTAGCAGTGGAATGACTGGGTCACATGGCACCTCTAGGTTTAACTTTCAACTGTTTTTTCAAAGCAGCTGCACTATTTTACGTTGGCTTGGGGCTTCTTGGGTGGCTCAAGGCAGCCTCCCAGTGTCTGGCGGGCCCTGCTCCACTCTGAGGGTTGTCTGCTGCTGTCATCCTGAAGGATGAGGGACCCACAGAAGTGGGTATGGCTGAAGCCCCTTGCAGCATCCAAGGCTAATGCTGGCTGGTCCTCCCCAATTTCCCAGAAAGTCTGCAGAGAGAGAATTATGGCTGTGCCTGATAGAGTGTGCTCATGGCTGGGGGAGGCCTGAGTTTACATTCTGGGCTGTTGTCATGAAGCTGCTGTGTGACCTAGGGTGAGTGGGGTAACCTCTCTAGCCTTCCTGTGACAGACCTGGCAGGGAGGGCTCTGAGGGGTCAAGGGCGGGCCCCCACTCACAGTGTCATCTGTGGCTGATTTTGTGCTTCAGTAGCGGCATTGAATAGTTGTGACAGAGACTGAATGACCCACAGAGCCTAAAATATTTATCTGGTCCTTTACAGAAAAAGTTTAGTAACTCTTGGATTATATGATACAAGTTTTTTTTTTTTTTTTTTTTTGAGATGGAGTTTCACTCATGTTACCCAGGCTGGAGTGCAATGGCGCGATCTCAGCTCACCGCAGCCTCCGCCTCCTGGGTTCAGGCAATTCTCCTGCCTCAGCCTCCTGAGTAGCTGGGATTACAGGCACGCGCCACCATGCCCAGCTAATTTTTTGTATTTTTAGTAGAGACGGGGTTTCACCATGTTGACCAGGATGGTCTCGATCTCTTGACCTTGTGATCCACCCACCTCGGCCTCCCAAAGTGCTGGGATTACAGGCGTGAGCCACCGCGCCCGGCCCTGTATGTTACAAGTTAATAAATGCTATTTTGCTTTTAGCCAAAAGGGTAAAGCAGCGATGGTGAAATTTGGGGTCACTGGCAGTTCTTAGGAGGGATTTGAGAGGCTGAGGGCTCACAGGAGTATCCGGGGTTCCTCAGACGCCTAGTGGAGGCCACAGTAGCCCCATGACTTTTTCCCTTTGTGGAGACATCTCCACCCACTGCCGCCTTTGATTTTTACAGCAACCTTGTGGGTTAGAGATAAAGGGTGATTCATCCTCCTGTCATAGGAGAGGCAACAGAGGCCAGAGCAGCGAGGGACTGGTCCTGGGATGGCCAGAGAGATAAGATGAGTGGCTCCAGGAACCCAGGCATCCCGCTCTGGGCCAGTTCTCACCCCTCTGCTACTCATTGCCTCAAAGACTTAGCCATGCCCTCGTGGCAGGAAAATGGCTCTTGTCCATGAGTTGACTTGGTATGAAACACCCCCTCATACTTCTTCACTTACAGAGGCAGGGAAAGGGGAGCACATGCTGGGGCCAGAGCAGGGTGGTGGGCGATGTCACAGGGACAGCCCCTCCTGTGGGTCTGACCTCACTCTTTGCCTCTCTTGGTTCCAGCCTTTGGCCTGGGAGATCTGCCCAACCTGCTAGGCCTGGTGGGGGACCAGCTGGGCGACACAGAGCGGAAGCGGCGGCATGCCAAGCCGGGCAGCTACAGCATCGAGGTGCTGCTGGTGGTGGACGACTCGGTGGTTCGCTTCCATGGCAGGGAGCATGTGCAGAACTACGTCCTCACCCTCATGAATATCGTGAGTGTCCACGTGTCCTGGGACTAGGGGGAGTGGGGTAGGGTGGGCTCCAGTGCTGATCCAAATGGAAGTTTCTGGAGCCTGGTACTTTTCAGGTGGACGTGGGGGAGTCATCGCTTGCTCCTTAGCCCAGCAGGCACACCCTTGGCAGCCAGGTTCAACGGTGTAATGAGCCTGAATTGGCCTGACTTGCATCCCAGACTGTGGCCTGATCCCAGCCGTGGATACTGGGCTGAGATGACCCATGGGCCTCCCACGCTGGAGCCTGTGGACAGTGGGTTCTGAGCTTGGACATATTCAGAGTCTAGGTCAGGTGTGGCCTGGAGCCTCACTTGTGTTGGAGTTGTAGGGACTCCCCTGGGACTCATCATCTGGAAAAAATACCCAACCCCAGGCTGGGGAGACTGGGCAAGGAGCTGTCAACCTGTGAAGAGGGTCCTGAGACCCTTACATGAGCCTTGGGTGTGCACAGAGACAGGCAAGGAAAATCAGGGACATGAGCGAATTCTAAGACTGTGGCAAAGCAGAGAGCCCATGCCCTCTGCCGCTGCCTGTGGCTGTCCTGCAGAGACATAGGACTCGTCACAGAAAAGCTAGTTTTCCCAGGAAAGTCAAAAATGTAGGTTTTTTAAAAAAGTGTTTAAAAAATTTTATTATGGAAAATTTAAATCCAGATATTTAAGAGAAAATTTCCAGTTTTTAAATGTTAAAAGAGAAAACCACTGTGGATGCCAAACAAAACACACTATAGGCTCCAGGTGGCCCTGGGTGAGCATCCCTGAGCTAAAGGGGCAGAGACAAGGAAGAACAGGAGGGCAAAGAGGGTGAAAGCACGGGGCCTTTGTCACAGTACCTGTGGCTGTGGTTCTGGGAAAGGATGGGGACCTGTCTGGGTGAAGTGAGACCCAAGGTAGAAATAGTGCAGGCAGGGGCCAGATGCTGGGGTTGGGGGAAGGACCCCCAGCCCTCCCCTACAAAGTGCAGTCCTGGAGGCAGGCGACCCATTGGGATAGACCCCAGCTCAGCATGGGACGCTGTGCAGTCCAGGCACAGGTGAGGTGGGCAGCGGTGCACAAGGGAAAGTGCCACATCAACAGGTACCCTTCACCTCTGAGCCTCTGCACGGTGACCAGGTTAATGGCTCATCATAAACATTCATCTGGAACAGCAGAGCTGAGAAAGAGATATGTATGTGGTGAGTCCCAAAGAATTTGAGTGAGGCCTCTGTTGAAGGCCAAAGCTTCCAGCCCCTGCACGGACCCTTACTGGCCTTGTTGTTAGCATCCTCTGCCCCAGGCCTGTTTGGAGAGGATAAAGAGGTTGGCTAGCTGCATGATCACACAGACTGAAAGATGACTGCAGAGGGCCAGGGCTGGGATAGAATCACCCTATCCTCAGTCTAACGTGGGCAGTGCTGGGAGGTTGTGAAAGACATGTAATGGTGCTGCTGCACTAAGAGGAATATTAGTGAATCGGCCAAGAGCACACAGTCTGACTCAGCCCCTTCCTGTCTTTGTGACTTTGGGGGCAAGTTACGAACCCTTTGGAGTGTCTCCTTCTGCACTTTGAAGGTAGCATTAACTACTTACTACCAGCCATGTTGGGGAGGATGACATGAGTGCACAGTGCAGAGCATGGCCCGTGCAGAGCATGTGCCGTCAGTGGGTGGTGGTTGGTGATAATGATGCGGCCTTTGTGAAGTGAGTGGTCATGCATTTCTGGGAACGGAACAGTTGATGGGGAGAAATGTCAACCCCACGTCATGCCAGTCCCCTCTGGAAACATTGGTAGGGTGCTGCCTGGGGTCCATAATCTGGCTGCACCTTTGATGAGGTGGTCATTAGGGGGACAGCCCCTTAATGCATCTGTGACCTTGGGCAGGGGACCTTTGTTGCTCAGGAATCCACAGGATGCAAGTGATGAAAAACCAACTCAATCTAGATTAAGACAAATGTGGTAATTTCTTGGCTCATGGGTCAGACTGGGGGAAGGACAGGTTGGAGCTGGTTGTAAGAATAATTGGAACTAGGTGCTTATCTGGACTCGAAGTTTTCAGATTTGCTCCTGACTCTGTGACATGCTAATCCTCTCTGACTGACTTCTCTATAAGACATCCTGGCCACTGACAACACGACGCGGACTCCTATCCCTATCCATGGCTGGAGACAAAAGAAGTTTCCCCTCTGGTTCCCAGGCAGAAATTCCCAGGGCAGGGCTCTGGTTGGCCTAACCTGGGTCATGTGGTACTCTGGGCCAATCACTCTATGTTAGAAAGGGAGAGCACCAGTGCTCCAAGCCTGGAGAGGGGTTAGACATGGCCATGGCAGCTGGAGAAACAGTTCTGAGCTGGTCAGGCGCCCCAGGTTCTGTCTGCTACAGTTTAGCCCCTTAGAGCCTCCGCTTTTTCATAGTAGTGTCTGCTCTTGGGATTGTGAAGTTGTAGTATCCAGAGTATCTGCACATGCCTGGCACATAGTGGGTACTCAAGTAACGTTTTCTGTCATTATGGTTTATTCTTGCATGTATAAGTTGTTTCTCACCTGAGTTTGGGAAGGCGAGTTCCTTGTTGTCTTTTTAGGAACCCCAACAGCACACACAGCACAGGGTCTGAACCTGAGAGGTGATTTGTAAACTTGGAGGGGAATGGCATCTATGAGAGAAGCGGGTGGCTGGCATCCGCTGAGATGGCAGCAGGAGAGAGCAGTAGAGTTCTGTCTGCAATGCCAACACCAATGAAAGAGCAGGAGCAGAGATCAGCTCCAATTACAGGAGCCCAGGGAGCGGGACAGGGGACAGAAAGTCTGTTCCTGGCCACCTCTGTGTGTGGATACTTCTTCCATCCCATGAGCTTAGCATGTGGTTTTAGACACAGAGAGCAAAGGCTACCACATGGAGTTGTTTGAGAAAGAGAGAGAGAGGGGAGGGAGAGGATGCCTGTGAATCTGAATATACCCACCATCCTGGAGCGCTTGACCACCCACCCAGACTCCACAAATCACAGGCCCAGCCTAGAGGCCATAACTGGGGACCGATCCCCTAGGGGGAGGCCATGCTGAGAGCCAGCTTGGGCCCCTGGAGTCAGCAGGTGGAAGACAAGAGGAAGGGCAAGAAAGGGGAAAGGGGTAGGGGAGACCCCAGGATGCCCAAGAGTGGTGGGAGCCTGGGTCCCATGGCACAAAGCTGGGGCTGAAGACCCCAGGACTATAAGCCAGGCCCTGTTGCAGCCCCAGAATCCTTCAGTTTGTTAAAAGATAATTTTCAGGAAGAGGCAAACTCCTGACTCTCATAGAGAAATAAAAAAGAACACGTGTTAAAGATTTGGCTCTACTCATTAATGAGGGAACCAGGTAGGTGTTATAACTGGTTCAGAAAAGAACCCAAGGACAGAAACATTATAGATCAGGAATTTTACGATGAATGTGCAAAAGGAGACACAATTGGTGTCGTATAGGGTGAGAGGGAAGGCTGTTTAGCCTCTACCAGAGAATATGGAACTTGCGTGCAGGCAGGAATTTTGCGTTGCTCTTAGTGACCCATGGTGCTCTCTGCCGTAAGGGTGCTTGCTCCTCATCTGATTCTGATAAGGGGAAAAGGCATGCTGTGGGCAGTGCCTGCTTTCCATTGAAGTACAAGTTTTTATTTTCTGGTTTGAGGCCCAATCAGGTGTGAGGAATCTGATGACTTGTCTTACTTAAAGGGTGTATCCCCATTCCTGGAACTAGTGGGGCGGCAGCATCTCCCAGGCCACAGCCCTGGATTGGACTGGGTGACAGCCCTAAACAGCTGTGTGGTGGGACTCTGTCTCTTCCCTAGGTCTGCTCTGCTCCTAGATTCTGGCTGGGATTGAGAGAGAGAGCGCCTGGGGCAGTGGTGGGGCTGAGTTGTCTGAGGGGGACCACAGAGCTGTCTTGGGCGATCTGCTCCATTTTTTCTCTCATCTTTCGGAGAAACTCTTTCAGAGGTACCCTGAGGGACATCCACGAATTCTGTTACTTGGCTTCTTAAATGACTCTTGGCTAAACTGAGCTGTCGGCAGGCTCTGGAGGGTGGATCAGGCTTGCTGGAGCCCTGCTCCCCAGCTGGCTTCACTGCCAGCCTTGGCTGACATCCATTCATTTGCTCAGAGCTGAGTGCTGTGCTACCTCCGTGGGCACTCCATGGGGCTAGGTATTGGGTGGGGTGCGGTGGGAGGCAGGGTTCTTGTGGTTGCAAGTGACAGACCCAGCTCACACTAGCTGAAGTCAAAGAGGGGTCTATTGGCAGGGAGCTGCTAACGCACCCACAGAGTCAGTAGGGCAGAAGCCTCAGGGACCACAGGATGAGGGCTTCAGGCCCATTAGGACACTGTCTCCATGGGCTTTCTCCCCATGATGGGAAACAGGAACAATGCAGATGCTCACACTTAGGGCCCAAATGCTAAAGGGCTCTTTCTTACCCTCTTAGGGAAAACCGGCTAGGGTGGGACATATGGCTATCCCTGGACTAATTGCTGTGTCTAGAAGGTTGGCTTGGGTCTGCTGGGTCACAGCTTGCTGCTGTGTATGGGGGTGAGGTGGAGCAGGATCTGTGCCCAGAAATAAAGCCACAAAGCATGCAGACAGGAAGAATGACTTCCACAGTGGGGGACACAAAAGGAGAAGAAAACACAGTCCCTGCCTTCAGAGCTTACACTGCTATGTATCCGCAGACCACTGCAAAAGATATCATTGCAGGCTGGGTGCCGTGGCTCACACCTGTAATCCTAGCACTTTGGGAATCTGAGACAGGTGGATTGTTAGAGGCCAGGAATTCAAGACCAGTCTGGGCATAGCAAGTCCCCATTTCTGAAAAATATTTAAAAAATTAGCCAGGCAAGGTGGTGCACACCTGTGGTCCCAGCTAGTCAGGAGGTTGAGGTGGGAGGATCAGTGGAGCCTAGGAGTTCAAGTCTTCAGTGAGCTATGATTGTGCCACTGCACTCCACCCTGGGCAACAGAGTAAGACCCTGTCTCTAGAATTAA